GCCCCGAGGAAGTGATGGCACTCACCAACCACCTGTGCTCTAGGCCAGAATCTCATGTTCACTGTTTGGATTATCTCCTGGAATTAGTTAAAATCAAAAGGCAATTAAGTCCCCATTGAACATTGGTTGAGGTATGTGTACATGAGGCTGCCATGGCTCCCCATTACCACACAGTCTACGCCAGTGTGCATCCCTTAATTTCGGTGGAGTTTCTTCTTCTCTTACCCCAGAGTATGTGTTGAAAAAGAAATGCAGTGGCCTAAAGTGATGCAAAGAGTTGAAATGCAGTGCAAGAGTTGAATGCAGTGGCCTAAGTGACTGTGCAGTTTAAAGTCCTGGTCAATCTCTTGATATCTAGCAAAGTTCTTTTTCTGTGACATGATGCAAGCTTATTTAGCCGAAGAGAAGTAATTGCAAGCGAAGTAGAAAGCTGACTCAACTCTACAGCTAGATATGACAAAAACAGAAGAGGGATCCTCAGTCATGAGATGGTAGATCAAATTCAGACTTGCCATAAATCACATTATAAAAGGACACATAAGCAAGTGCTTCTTGTAGCTTCTGTGCCACGGAGAATGAGTTAGGTAGTAGCAGCAGCAGAACTTACCCTATAGTTCAAGACTGGATTAAATTTAACTGCAGAAACCTTCCAGTTGAATTTCTTACTATAACCTTCCATTCTACCTTGAGGTCCCAAGTTTGTTCCTCCATCTTTACATTGGCTGAGTGATCTGTTTCCAAATCCCCTCCTCCTTTTAGGTCACATCTGAATTTAGCCCATTTTGCCAGGCTGCCAAGGAGTGATGCAGAGGAAGTTGGGCAGCCTCCTTAAAGGCTCACTCACATTTCAGGGATAAATGCTGTTGCTGTGCGTGCAGAACATGACGTTGTGCTTGGGAAACAGAAAATTGTGAGTGCACATAAAAATCACTTGTAGACCTCTTCTCAGCTCCTCTACTCCAGCGTAACACTGCACACCTTCAGAGACCTACTAATTAAAAATAAGGTTGGAGATGAGAGGATAGTAATAAGAAACCAACATTCAAGCAGTGTTTCAGCCTGAAGGTACTGCCCGTGAAAGGCAAAGGGCTCAGTTTCAGAAGAGCTGCGGGTTAAGCAGCAGCCATGCAGACTACCCTCCACAGGCCTTCTGATGTCTCTGACTTTGCCTGGAGGTATCTCCTCCAAAGTCAGGGTAGGTTCCACATCTATTCAACTCTCTTAGTTTACTCCATTATCAGGAGCAAAGGTTTGGCAATACCGACTCTTCCCTCCACAAAACAACACATTCTATAAAGACTCCTGAACACCTGTCAGGTAACCAGGATGTGTCTAACTGTCTTGGCCCTGAATCAGTCCAGTGACTTTCTTTGTATTTAAATCTTCCTTGCCTTGGGGAATCCAGTCCTTCAAATGTCCTCTTGTGCATGTCTGCACACACAATGCACACAAAGTAAAAACTAACTGGGAAGATGATCCAGTCTCTCCCCTACTGATGCAAATCAGTAACAAAATCCCTATTAAATAACTGGTAGGCAAAGTTAGGGCCCAGGTAAGGAAATGAGCCTGGAGAGAGATGCTCGCATGCTGTTCCAGCAGATGCATCTGGACGGATTCTGAGAGCAATGGACACCATGGTAGCAATCAGATACAACCTATCTCCAGGCTGAGAGGCAGAACGCAGTTCACACTGTGAGCACATATTCAAAAGATACAGGTGCAAAAGCAACAGCTTCTGGAGCCTTGAGCCACACTGTTGATGGATTGTGGTTGCAACCACATAAATTGAAGAGTCAGTGCTGATCTTCAAGTCACAAGCTATAAACTCCTGGGTGTGCCTGCAAGGAGGAACCCCAAGAATTTGATTTCATATTGTCCCCTTGATTTTCTTTTTTGCTGTGCAATCTGATGAAACATACACCACATGTTGTTTAAGTGTCTGGCTAACCCCCTTCATATGGCAGAAAAGAAACTTCTCTTATATTTAGAAGCCCTCTTCTAGGGTTACATATCAAGATACATGCACACTGCTGTTTTGCAGAATGCAGCTGCCCTGTAAGAAGTGAAAGATGCTAACATGATCCAGGAGCTGAGGCCAGCAATTTCAAGTTTCCATCTGTCTCTGCCTGTAATACATGCAGGAAGGAAAAGAGAGCTGGACTTCAGGCATTAGTTGATGCTTTCAGCATGCAGGAAGACTGCATCAAAAAAATGGCAGCCTGGAACAGTTTTGTGGAAGGAAGAATCTGTTCACCTGCTCAGGACACAGATGTTGAGTTGAAATACGTTTTACTGCTTCCCCCTGCCATTTCATGAAATAACAAATGGGCTAAATCCAAATCTAGATGCATGATGATGAACAACAGATAATTTCCAAAGCCTGTCATAGATAATGAAATTTGTTTATATGCCCCTCAAAATATAAAGCAGGCACTAATTCCTCAGACAACTGCGTTCTGCTTTCCACACCCACTGCTGTCACCAGGGGTTTTGCTGATTTGGGCAGTAGAATGACATTTAAACTTCCCTATGTTTGATACTCACTTTTTGTGGGTCTGTCACACCTACAACAGAATGATTTAGTTGTACAAGGACCATATTAATTTCTAGCACAAGCTGTGTTTGACTGCATTTCTCAAACGTGGTTGAAAATTTATGTAAACATAAATAAATGAAGAGAACTAATTCCAGTACATTAGTAAAGCCAAAATAAGATTACCTATGACATAGAAGCACTAAGGACATTAGAGGAATTGCTGCATTTTCCCCTCTCTGTCACATTAAGTGGTTTAATATAAAGCCTTTATTTTTATACCAATCAATAGCACTGTAAGGTAGCATCATTTATCTTCAGAAGCACTGAAGATACAATGGCTCAATTCTCAATTATATTGAGTGAGACTTCAAAGATATTTATGAGCATCAAGATGCAAGTTAGATTTCCAGTATAGTTTTCAAAAGCATCTGAACAAGTCAGGTGTCTAGCTCCTATTGATCTAAATCCTTGTTAGGCACTTTCAAAAAATACTTCAGGTTGCCTATCCCTATCCTCTAGTGCCCAAATAACTTCAGCAATCATTCTCCCCTCTCACACCACCACCTGTAGTTTAGTTTACAGTACTGGAGTTTAGTATTTTGCAGAAGGATGAAACTTTTTGTACACACTTTGGTTTTTAGTACACTGATGTAGGAAACTATTACTACAGCAATGCAATGGTGTTTGCTTTTGATGCCAGCAATTCAAGGTGGTGGAAGTCTGACCTCTGTTACCTGCTCAGAGCCCTCCTGTGGTGACCTCATTTGACTGCTTTTCCCTTCATGGTGGAAAAGCCCTAAAGAGACCACCAAGGGACCATATTGAAAAAGCCTCAACGCTCTTTCTGGATGCTATTTTGAAAATGAAGAGAAGAGCCTACCTTGCTGATATTTTGAGCATTAATTGATCTCTAGCCACTTCTGAACATACTAGCTACAGTACAGACTGGTTGTATAGTATCCGTGTAGGTCAGAAATCCTGCTTTTGCTTTGAATCACTTTATTCTGAAACTGTCCAAGGGATTAGAAAAAGGGGTATTACTCTTTAAAACAGCAGAAGCAACAAAACTTAGGAAAGACACTTCCCACATACCAGAATGGACATGAATTAAAAGTAATTTTATTCCATTTCTCAATGACAGTTCTAGCATATCTGATAATAAGGCAAGCTACTAGAAGTCCCACAAGACATACCAGACCATTGAAATAGTATTCAAAAACCAAAGAGGAGTTCACAGAACAGCCAATTCTTGGGATCATCAAAATCAGTGGCAAGATTCCCATGTGGACAAACTCAATCACTGTAAATGCTGAAGAAATCAACTGATTTCACCAGCGTTCATGAAGTTTTATACTGGAGTAATTAAGGATAGGTGATGCATCACTGACTTCAATGAAAAACAGAATTTGGCAGAAAGAAAAGCGAAAAAGCACATTAAAAGTATAGTATCAAGACACAGAAAATACATGCTACTTCCAGGCATATGCTTTAAACATGTAAAAGTTTCTGGGACTTTTTTTTTTTAATAGGTATTTGTACTCTTTCCACGTATGATTCTTTTCTCATTTGCACCCGCTAAATTCCCATGCATTTCTGGGTAGTTGGTCCAGACTTACATTAGTGCAAGGAGAGTAAGCATAAGTTGGCATAGCTTGCTTGAAGATGTAGTAAGTTAAAGCAAATGGAGCAAAAACCACTAAAGACCTATCCGTCTGTCTTAATGCTCACCACAATTTACTCCTTTTAACATGGAGTATCTGTGTAACAAAACAAATACACTCCTTCAAACAGTTTTCAGCTAATAAAAATTGGCTGTCCCATGCTAAATTTTCATAAGGTATCAAGAAGCTGCAGTAATTCAGAGGCCATCAGTTCTGTAATCTAAGGCTGTTCACTGAACAGTATCTTAGGATCAGCAAGAGCCTATATAACTATGTAAGGGTACAAAAGTCTGTCCGTCTCTAACTGCATTGATGTATAAACTATTCATAGCAAGATGAGAGGATGAACTAAACAAAAAAAGACATGAACAAAGTAAAACACAATGAAACTACGTGACTTGCTAGAGGAACAATAACAAAAGGATGAAGAACATCTATTCAAAAAGAAGATCTTTTGTCAGATAAAAAAATAGGAACTTTTTACATATGTGAACTTTAAAGAGGAAAATATGATCAGTGCAACTTTAATGCAGGACTAGAGCTAAGTCAAGGGAGTTCAACAATGAAAGGCAACAAAACAAAAAAATCATTAAGAAAAATATGGATGCTATGGAAGAAGAGTGCCTCTTAACAATCAAGTGATTGAAGTCGGTCCCAGGTGGTTAAAAATCCAAGGTAAAGACCTAAAAGCTGAGGATGACAGAAGAAAGCAGCTGCTGAATCAGAGTACGCCCACGGCATTATAAAATCACATAGCAGGATAAAATCACAAACCCATGGTTACGATTGTGTTGAGACTATTTTAAAGGAATTAAAAAAATCCTTAATGGCCTGATCCAAAACCCACTGGAGGCAACAGGAGTTCTTCTACTAGCTTCAGCAGGCTTGCATCAGATCTTATACCGCACACTATAAACAGTCTAGATATGTTGGCTTTGTCTGGCTAGGGTCAGCCAAGGAACATCATGGATCCAGCAAACATTCCATGTAAATGAGAAAGAAAAGGGAGTTGTTAGGGCAAGATCTAATCATACATGAGGGTAAAAGACAAAATGCTGCTTTATACTGAGATTCTTTATAAATAAATAATTTTGAAAACCTGGTTACGCCATGCTGATTAACTAACTGGACTATCAGTTCATCCACCAGGAACATGCCTCTGCAGACTGGTAGGGTCAAATCTAACAGTCTGGAATGAAGGGTTTCCTTCTTCTCTTCTTTTTCCCCTCCTGAGATTTACATGATGATATCCTCCAAGTGTAGTCCCCGTCTTCAGATAGCATGCTGCAAGGACACAGAAATACATATTTTTAAAGGAGGAAAAGACAGAGTTTGCCTTGTGAGTTTAAATTATTAATTCTACACATCTAATGGATACATTATGCCACATTAGTGGCACTTGTTCTCTTAAACATCCCTGTAGATTAGTGGTTCAATATAGTTTTGAATCAAAGAGCTAAGTTTCTAATGGCACCGGTGATCTGTCAATCCAAACTGAATTTTTAAACTGGGTTACCTGAATCAATGCAAGTTAGGATATTTCATTGCCAGGAAATGGGCTCTTATTTTGACAAAGTTTCATGAGGTCAACAGCATCTCTGCTTCCTTGAAGTGGTACATGAAACAGTCAGGCAAGAACAATACTTTCAGCAGTAGACAACTTGGTAAATACAACAGCAATACACGACAGATGTTTTAAAAGGACCGCATAACCTCTCTTGTGCATCTGCATTAGGAAAGATCTGAGAAGTTCCCTCAAATTCTTGTGTTGGGGCTAGGTCTCAGACATTACCTATGGATGTACTGATCTCACTGGCTTGTCTCTAGGTGCTGGGCTCTCTGCTAGAGTCCCGAGATCTTTTCCATCAAGCATCTGCCTTCTAGCACGCACCTCCTTAAAGAGGGATCTAGGACATGAGGTATTAAACAGTAAATATATCCTGCAGACAGTACTAACTTCTTTGTTCATTGTCTCTTGGATTCTACTCAGGACTCCACTAGGCAGAATCTATGGCAGGGACATTTCCTCCATGCACAGATGGAACTACTGGACCAGAATTTTTAATGTGGTTTGCTAAGGAAAAGAGGCAACGTGATTACATCAGCCTCAGTGCATCTACACGTGTCTGCCCACGACTCAGCTTCTGAGCTGACTGAATGTGTTTGACAAACAGGCAGTGGGACTTTATGCTCTTATATTTTTACAAGTCTAGTAAAAAGAGGTAGGGTATCAAGGAGGTAATCAGTTAGCACCCTTACTGATAGAAAAGCAACAGTATGAGCTCACTGGCTAGGTGGACACCAAGAATTAATGTGGGTAAAAGACAATAGGAACGCCCTGACTTCCGACTTTGTGCTCCAGTTACTGGCACTCCAGGTCAATGCCTGCAGTGAAAAGCAGGTAGTCCTCCTTAGCTCTTTTTTTCCCTCCCTATGGTAAGGTAGAGAGAACAGGATTGGCAATGTAAAGATCTGGAGGCTGGCTGTGTAATTCCTGTCATCATACTCACCCTCAGTTTATTCTCTCTGAAGGAGAGACAGGCACTCAGAGAAATGGCTGCAAAGGCTTTTAAGAGCCTCAGGAAGGGGATAGCAGAGATATTAAAAATAATCTTGCATGCCTTTTCCCCCTGAAGAATTATTTGTAAGTTAGTAAGAAAAATATATGCATACATCTGTCCCTGGTACATAGTCTAAATGCTTACTCCTTTTTCTTCTACCAGTAATTACCAATGTTGCATGACTGCATATATGCTTTATTTAAGACCCTACTGATTATTAAGTAGTATAAGCTAGTACTTTCTGCACAGCCTGGCTGTCTCTCCATCTTCTTTCGAAGCCATGCTGATAGGTGGTATTTCTGTGACTTCCCTGGGGTGAAGTTCTAGATCAAGTGAGATTAAAGAAGGGGTCAGAAGTTCACACTCCTCTATGAAAGCATTAAAATATCATAATGGTTTGCATGAAATTCCAAAGTCACCGAATATGACTATCCTTCTCACATAAGTTATTACCAGAAGATAATTCTACCCTGCCTGTGGCCCTGGGGTTCAAGATAAAGAGAGTCCAGAAATTTCTTATGTGAATGAAAAAAAGTCTTGGACACTGGTCCACTGGCAGGAGTTTCTTGCATTCCTTTCCTTCAGTACTTTGGCTACCCTTCCTCATACCAAAGTTGTCGCTATCTCAGTCAGAGCTCTACAGAAAAGCTTATGTCTTTACTTCACTTAACTAGTGAACAATAACTCTAACACCTCTTACTAGTTCTCCACATTTATACTTGACTCACTCCTACTTGCCTAGGCTGCAGAGAACCACTAGCGAGGTGTGCAAAAGACATGGGCTTTAGATGCTATGCTTTGTGTCTCAATGGGGAAGCAAAACTCATGTGAACTCTAGTTCTGCACGGAGCAGCATTGTCAAGTGTCACTCAGATGCTAGAGGTAGTCTAAAAGTATGTGCTGTAAGAAGCTGCATATTGTTTCAGACTACTAACAGGCTATGCAGCAAACCCAGCAATGGAATAAGAATGCATGATTCTTGTGGTAGAATATGACATGTTAACCCAGTTAAGAACAGGGTTTGCGATACCTGAGGTCTCCTTCAATTATGTAAGGAGGTTCCAGCCCTGGATTATGTTTCTCTGAATCTGCCAGTGGGACTCAAATGAAATCCAAAGACACCAAGCATCTTGTGTTATCAAACAGCAAAACAAAACAGAATTTGGAATCTGCTCTAAAAATTTGGAGACTGCTCTGAAAACACAAATTGTGAACTACTGGAGAGCCCTCATTCACTGACAAAATTATTAGCTTTTGCTGATCAAAATACTTAGCAAGAGAGAGGAAGGCTGACTCCAAATCCATTCAAGTCAGTGGAAAGGCTACTAACAGGCTTCATGAAGCAGCATAAGAATAGTGGTATTGGGTTGGACCAAAAAGCCATCTTCACAGCATCCTAGCTCTGACAGTGATGTGTTACAAATGCCTAAAGGGACCATATAAGAAAAGGCTAAGTCCAAGATGATATTTCTCCTTTTACTGCCTTCCAGCTCTGCCAATCTGCAGCTTAGAAACTGAGGTTATATCTGCATCTTTGCATTTAAGCTTTTTTTTTTGTAATTTCACTTGTTGCTGTTTCAAAACATTTGTATTTTTTGTATCCACAGCAACCAGAAAGAATAAATCCCACAGCTGCATTGTATGTCACATGGAAAAGTACCTCCTCCTTGTTTAAAGCTGCCTTCCTCTGATGCCCCTTCATCTCATTCAGAAGAGACAAAATAATCACTCTTTATTTCACTGCCTTTAACTACCGATTCCCAAGTCTTTCTTTCCCAAGCCAAAGAGATTGTGTCTATTTTGTCTTTCCACATATAAAGGTTTTCTCATATCTTGCAGCCCTTTTTCTTGGTGTTTTTTGTTTTGGTGTTTTTTTGTTTGGTGTTTTTTTTTTGTGTGTGTGTGGGTGTATACCACATCTTTCTTAAGACAAGGACATCAGAACTAAAGGCAGGATTCAGGATGTGGTTCACAGATGAGTGTTGCCTGTCATTACATATCTTGCCATCTTACTCTCTAACCAGGCATATTACAGCAGATTAAGGCCACAGGCAGGCTATGGCACACAACTCTGCACTGTTTCAGTTTGTAGTGATGCCTCCTTATGGAAGACAAATATGTCCCTTTTCTTGCTGCAGTTCTTGATGGACAACATGCCTATGGGCACATATGCAGGGCTAGACTCAGCGGTGACACAAATACTGGTTTAAGTTTCATCTGAGCAAGCAGTGGAAACGTTAATTCAGCATTCAGGTCTGGCAAAGTAGGAGTGCAGGAGAAACTGACAGGAGAGGGTAAAAGTTACAGGGTGGAGTAAGAATAAATTTGACCTAGTGTGGAATAAGGGACAGCCCAAATTCAGCATACACCACAGCTTAACACTCAGTGATTCCTTAGCATAATGAGGAACACACCAGTTTACACTGATGAAGACAGACACATTTTATTGCTGGGCTGTTAAGTCCAGTGATGCAAGTGATGGCATGACTGTAGAAGGTAGACGGTTCCCAAGTGTCAGATGGGCCCTGTTCCAGGCTATATATATCTCTCTCTCTATATGTGTGTGTATATCACTATAGAGATTAATATATGTTTGCTAAAGATAACATGCCAGTGTTAAAGACAAACGAGGGTCTCCAGAGTTGGCTTAGCACCAAGTAAATCTTCAAAATGAAAAGTCAAAGCTCTTTCTTCCATGCTGACATCAGTGTCACCCGCTGTTATTCCTGTGCTAACATTGCTTTGCAACTGAATAAACCAAAGGCAGCATGCAAGGAAGCTTGGGTCTCAGAGGTAGGAATTTTCTGAAAAGTGAAAGGGTCTTCCTCTTCCTGAGTCTACCAGTATTATTGGGGGTATAGTGTCACTGTTTGTTCAAAACAGGAATTTCTTGCACTTCCTCTCTCCGCAGCTTCTACCATTTCAACCCTCAACACCCCTGACTAGATGTTTTCCTCCTGGCTGAGGCATGTGGAGTACCATGTGAGCCCTCCTCAGCTCTGCTTAAAGCACAGGACTTAACCCCTTTCCTAAGCAAGACAGAATGCATAGTAGGTTTGGGTATCTGAAAAGCACGAAGAGGAGATGTGGGAACAAATGGATAACTTTGGTTGTAATTTTTAATAGGACATGCGGGTTTTGATAGTCAGAGGCCACTGAAATTCATCAAGTTAGGCACTGACCTCATTGACCTGGTGTTCTAGAAATACCATTCATAGAGAAGAAACGGAGAAGTATTTCAGTGCTCAATTCACAGTGGTTTCAGTAAGAGATGCTCAAGAGCAGCTATGACTGTTTTTAACAATTCAGTTAAGTTGTGAATTTGCACAGAAGGAGACCCAGAAACTCTGCTGAAGACAGCATGCGACTGCTTGGGACTGTGCAACGATGGTGGTGACAAGCCACAGGGCACCATTCCCAAAACTGCTGGAACAACTGCCTGGCAGTGCCTTGATCCAGATGGAGCTTTGGAAGAGGGATGCAGCTGTCCAGGTTGCAGCTGCAAGGAGTGCCTGCTGCCTGTCTTTGGGGCTGGGACATCGGTGGTCTCTGGTGGAAGCTGTACTCTGACTGAGGCACTGAGTCTCCAGGGAAAAGGGCTTCAGGAGGAGGTGAGCAGACTGCAGACCATCAGGGTGTACAAACAGGAGACCAACAGGGTCTTCACAGAGGAGTGCCTGAGCTCCACAAAGCAAAGGATGAACAACTGAAGACAACACTTGAACAAGAGTTGAATGGAGACTTCCACGATGGGGAGGGCCTGAAGTTTGTCACTTCTGGCAGGAGAAAGGAGGTTCCTTTTGTCTCACAGATCTGCATTTCCAAGAAATGTGTAGCCAGCCCCCCAGGAGAGGGTGAGAAGTTATTTTGAAGGAGACTTCAGAGCCAGCTGAGCCTGAACCAAGTTTCTGTACCAAGAGGAAAACTTGTATAACAACTGATAGAGATTCCCTACTGCCAACCTGACTTGGATGTCCCAGGTTTTCTGCTTTCCAGATTTCAGACCTGGGACATTGTGGAAGAACTTCCAAGGCTCACCCAGCCCTCAAACTCATTACACCTTGCATCTCTGATACTGTCAGTAGAACAACAGATAAGTCAGAATGAGCTAGGAAGATTTACCAATGAGTTTATGAATACTCAAGTAACATCCTCTGTGAGACGCTCTAGCAGTCATGGGAGAACAGATAAAGTACTAACACAGATCAGATATGGCATGGTAGGACAGTAACAACAAGCTCTAGGGAGAGACACGGAAGAATATGGAAGGAGAATACAAGGGGATATGCCCAATGGTAATTTGCAATGAGACTTCTTATCCTTTGAAGGCCAAAAGAAGCCATAAGGAATATCAGCAGGAGCAACTGGGTAATATGGTAGCTGATGAATTTAATGTGGATAAAACACACAGTAATGAATCCTGGAAGGGTCAAGCTTATTGCAGAAGTCTAAATTAACTTTCAGGAAAATGCATGTGTAGGTCATGGAAACATCAAATTTGTGCCGAATTGTAATCAAATAAATCAGTTATAGGGCTGACTATCATATTATTCTATTAAGGCTTACTAATACTGAAGCATATACATTAAAGTTAGCATAGAAGTAATTTACAATCACTTCACATTATGTCCTGGTTTTGGCTAAACCACAACACATTAGCAGAGTGCAAAGTGGCTGTTAGTAAATAACCATGACCATGGTACAAATGGATGCAAGATAACTGCATGGAGCATGCAACGCCATCCACACCAGTGGCATGTCAAACCCAAAAACAATTTAGTATAAAATATGAATGTCCAGGAGTAAGGCAACGAAGGGGACTCAGGTGAGCATGGAGGATAGAGAGGCCAGCTGGGTGCTCCAGTTCACTCATTTTCACATCAGAAGAATGAAGATTGTTGCTCCCATCAAATGCTTTCTTAGAAGCAAGGGCTCTTTGGAGGGTGATAGGTGAGAAGGAGAAGGGGAGCAGTAAAGAGACTGGAAAGCCAGGGAGCAGGGTGAATCCAGTAAACCTTGAGTTCTCACAAAACTCAAGGCATCATTTGCCCAAGAGACCTCTATGGAAACTATTCACTGAATACAGAAATTAACATCCCAGCAGTGTGCTTAGGGCTCCTAGGCTCCTGGCAATGCTTCCATCTCACATAGTCATTTTTCTCGTTTTAAAAAACCCAACAAAACAAACGAAAACCAATTTTTAAAAAATCCTCAAAAGACAAAACTTAAGAAAAAGCAGAAAGGTGTATTATACAGACTTACTGCTGCTCACTTCCTTGAGGGTAGGAGAGAGGTGCTTACAAATACTAGCCAGATGTAAAGTGCTAGCTACCACTAGTATCTGGCAGTGGGGACAAAGCAGCATTCAAACACTCAGCACACAGGGCCCTACTGCAGCAGAAGTGATGACTACAACTAAATGCAGCTTGTGTGCCCTGGTTAATGTGACTGCTTTGGGTCAGTGTTGTCTGCCACTCCTCATGCTGCCCTTCTCTCCTCTTACTTAAAAAAAAAAAAGATTATTGAGCTGCTATCCTTGTCTGAGAAATGATGAGTAAGGTACTAGAAGTGAACACAGGAATTTACTGCTGCTGTCAATTACAAACCTTGGCACACTCAGCCTGAAGTGACTTGGTTTTAAATCTGTGAGGGCTGAACAAACTGAACACAAGCTGAACCAGAGAGAGATTCATGCTTGCAAAATGCATGGGGAATTAATGAATATACAGTAAACTTCTGATTCTGCAGCACTATCCACTAATATCCTACAGAAAGGAATCCCATTGCCACTAACTTCCTTGCAGTTCAATATAACATACTTCAAGTTTTTGTCTGAAAATGTCGTATGTGTTTAACCAGCTACTCCATTCCACTCCCCGGAGATATCTGCATTTCAGCAGTGAATGAGGTGATTTGTGTTTATACTTACAAGTTTCTATGGTGTACTGAAAGGCTCTCCAACCAAAATAGCCAATAATAAATTGATTTAAATTGGTTATTTTAATAGGAAGTGCACATTACTATAGAGAGAAGAACATACTGGTGCACAACCTTAAGAAAGGATATAGATACCCTAATTACTTTTGTCCTCTTTTCTAAATAAGCTTATAATCCATTTGGGTAACCACTGTGTATACAGAGATTCATTTGCTGAGCTTCTTCACTATTTTTCCAGGTGTACAAAGGCAGGTCAGGTACACAGCATTGAGAGAGAACAACCTTCTCCCACAGCAAGCCAAGCCAAAATTACATTTGTGGTCACTTTTCATAGAGTTATGGTCACCTTAGTATCAAACAGTAAAATAGTAACTGACACTCTTCTCTTTACAAAGTTAAAAGATATGTCGGACAGATTATGAGACTGAAAATTATCACCTGGGGACTTTATTGGCTGAAATCTAAGGATCTCTATGCACCTGGTCTTGCACATGGTGAAACTGAGGGGCAGAAAAAAAAGCCAGCAAATGGCCTAAATAGGAAAAACGCTATGGGAGCAGCAAGAGTTTCTAGAAAATCCACTGCTGCTGAGACACAGTCATTTACATTTAACCACAGACAACAGAATTTTCTAAATTGCAAAATAAGTAAAAATTGTTCTTTTGGAAAACATGCATGCATCCCTAAATTTTAACATTAGTAGACAGTTCTGGCAATCTTTAGTTTCTTATTCTGAAGCTCGTGTACAGGGAACTGCTTGCATTGGAACTAGTAGCATTTTGCTTACCGTTGTGAAATGAACTACGCAATAGATTCCAATGATGACAAGGCCAATGATAATTGATGCAACAGCAACCCAGAGTGCATTACGACCCAGTCTTTTTGACCCTTCTATATCTCCTTGATTATAACTGTTTAAAGCCTGTAGAAGAGAAACAGAGTTTGTGACTTTTTTTTAAACAGAAATCTGTACACAAACCAATGTGACTGTTTTGAAATAACATTAAGTTCAGTGCACATTGGTACTGTAGAAGGGAGTTCAGAAAGTGGTGATTTCTCTCTGTAAAAATAAACATCTGCTGCAAACAGTCCAAGGTAAGTAGGGAGCTTACTGATTTCTTCTTTTTCCAATGTTTTACTTTTCAAAACTAAGCTTGAAGAATTAATAGGTAGTTTGCTGGTGGTGGAAAAAAAACGAAACCAAAGAAATATAGATCATCTGAACAAAACATCTGAGTGCCATCTTCATGGGCTAGAAAGTCTGTCCCTTTGTATTTTTGGAACACGCTGATAATTATCATCACATACATTGTGAGGTATGCATCAGACATATGGATATTATCTCAACAGACTTGAGTTTATCTCTATCCACCCATGACTTAGCAGATTCATTACATGCAGAGATGCAAGGTGTGATAGGACCACGGTGATCTTCCAGTCTTTTGTGAAACAGACTGTAGGATTTTCTGAATCAATTTGTTTTAACCAGACCACATTTTTAAAAGAAATCTGTACATAAACCAATGTGACTGCTTTGAAATAACATTTAAGTTCAGTGCACATTGGTACTGTAGAAGGATACAGAGAGAAATCACCATTTGTAAAAGAAAAGATTCAGTGAAGGACACTAAAGTATTCTAGTACATGAGTCTAACAGCTTGTAGTAACCTTTTCCCAAGAATGAGATGCTATCAAAGAATATTTTAACAGAGTATTATTTCTAATAATTATTTTGTATTATCAGGACAGTTTGAGTTCATAAATCATGACATTAAGACCATATTTCTTTATCAGATTGCACTATTGAACTACCTTAGCATACTTCCTCAAGGAATCAGGTTAGTCATAATCTGTTCTTTAGTATCTTTTAAGTATTCCAGGAAGTATCCCAGAAATGGGAGGTGTGGAGGGAGAAATACGGGGACCTAATCAAATGAACTGTTCTGTGGACTAAATAATTCAGTTTGCCTTTAGAAAACAACTGCATGAGGTATTAGCAAGTGCTATTACAAAAGTGCTTTAGTTATGAATCACTTTTTGTATCAAGGACAGAACAGCTAATTCAACAGAGTGAAGATCTGAGACTGTGGAGAGCAGAAAAGGAATGAGCTTCAAAGTATACCAAGCATTGTTGTAGAGCCTTTCTTCCCAAGCAGAAAAATAATTAGGGACATTATCTGTGTGTGTTCTGTCGATTAGTGAGCACACAGAAGTTAATGGGCCAGATGCATCCTTGGTGTTAGCACTGCAGTAAGATCACTCCTGCCAAGACAGTCCCAAAGCAACGAAGCCTGTATTCCTAGAATTGCATCTCAAGGATAAGTGCAGGTACTTATTCTCTGGTGTCTAAGAAAGGCTGAGCTGCTGATGCACTCTTGCCCTTAAAGAGAGCACGGGTGCATTTCTTCTCTTCCTGGAAGCCTACATGCCAAAACATTTCTCTGTTTTATTTCCCTAAAGAATATCACTAATACCTCTGCTCTGCTGTCAAATTCTGTTAAGGTTGGCTAGTGGACTTAAAGGATAGAGTGGGGAAAGAGGGAAGAGATGAAAATGAGAGATGGACATAAACACATAGTCAAATAGGATGACTGCCCAAGCCTTGTTCCCTTAGGGTATCAGGCTAGCCACACCTAATCATTCAGGTGCTGAGGCACAGTCACCTCCAGTTCTCCACCAGTGTGGCCTCCTGTTACAAAGGGTGGCTGGCGCAGTTCCTAAGGTCACCTAAGTTACTCCACTGTTTTCAGCAGTCCTGTCTACAGGAGAAAAGCTTTCTTAAGTTTTCTCAAAATACATTTGGGAAGATCAATAAAAGGAGTATCAGGAGAAACATGGCTTGGCTTGGTCTTGAGCAGGCCGACTCCTCCTGCCTCTGTCAACGCTACGGATGTGACTATGGCTACAGGGAGACACATGGAGAAGCATCACTGACACCCCAGCCCTGACTTCGTTCTCCATGACATCTAGGACTCTAAACTCAGTTCCCCATATATGTGGTCTCAAGATTGAGAGAGAGTTGTAAGCAAGGCATGGCAGCACCAGCTTGCAGTTCCATGCAATTTTACTAATGTACTTAGGAAGCCTGGAGAATGTCCATGTGATTTCTGCAGGTACTGCATAAATAATTCACCCTGTGCACTTTAATAAATAATGTCATTTTAATACAAATCCATGATAAAGAGGAGGGAAACAGCATTAATGATAAAGAGAAGGATTTGAGAGAGACATGGAGGAGACAAAAGTTTCTTTATTCAGAGGTTTAAATTAAATAGCATAATTTAGACAGCAGTCAAGAAAATAAGAGGTTTGGGGGAGTGGTTGGGGTCTGATGCAAAGCTCTCTGAAATTCATCTATGTCCAACTGCTTCAAAGGGCCCTTGGACCAAGCTTCCAGTTTTCAACATGAGACATAGACAATATTAACTGTTAAAGCCTTAAATGTTACATCTGTTTATTTCCAAGGGCTAGGCAATATACACAGAATACAGCATCTGTGTGCTACGCTTGGTCTGTTCAACTTTTAAAACAAATTTTAGCCGTTTTCAACCTAATACCATATGATTTCTCAAGTTTCTGCTACCTCGCTCACTATGAAGTCATAAACTAAATTAAAGCCACAGTTCTACAGCTGCTTATTTACTTGAGCAATCTCAGTGACTTCATCAGGTTCACACACATCTATTTATAAAAGATATTCTCAGTTCAACAATGAAGCAATTTAACCTCATATGAAGGGAAATTTGCTGAATTAGCTACAAACTATTAATCCTTTTTAATGTGCATTTTCTATTCCACATTCCCAGCGCACCGTTTATGGCAAAGGCAGAAAGAAAACTGAATTACTTCAGAAATCCTCCTCTACATCTCTTACAAATCTTTGATCAACATTTTCTAGGCTTTCCATGAGCCAGACTGCAACAAACCTTATTCGGCTGCGCCTGGAAATGAGACACTCTCTAGTTCGTACCAAAGGAAGAATCAGACATGCTGGCTCAGTATGACTCCTCACTGTGAACAACTTTCAGGGAAGGAGAAAGAAGACGGGGCACTCGGGGAGCAATTCAGAATAGGGCTTGATCTTTGCTTTTTGGCAAATGAAAGAGACAGGTGATGAGCAACACACAATGAAAGGGCAGTTTGCTCTGCAGGCTGTACAGCAGCATGCAAACAAACACTGGGATTCTGTGTCTCTGGGGACTAGTTGAAAGTGTTGCTGCAGAGGGAAAGTTTAACAGTTTGCAAAGATAAGGGCCATGCAAAAATGCTCAAGAACAGCTGCTGAGCCTTGTTGTTTAACACCCCTGAAGTAGGTACAAGCTGTCCCATATGATGTTAGGTGTCCAGGTACCTACAGGCTACTTAAAAAAAAAAAGCTGTATAAATAATAAACTTTCCAAATAAACTTTCTAACTAAAGAGAAGTACAGCTACACAGGAACACTGGTCACTATGCTAGTCACAGACCTGACCAAAGCCAACGCACTGTACATGGCTCGCTAGGATCCCAATTAGAAGACATGACCCCCTCAGAAAGCAAGTTCCATCCTTTGCTGTCCCATGACTTCTACCACCCTCTGGCTCATTGTCTGCTTAGGGAACCTAACATACAGACAAGGCATCTGAATCCAAGGATAACAAATGCAGCCAAAAGAACTTGTTGCTATCAGAGCAGATCAGCCAAGATTGTCACAGCTTGACCACGTATGTTGTTTGAAACATGCAAACGATTAAACAGAAATGTGTCAACATAAAGAGAGAATTAGGAGCAAACAATCAGGGAGAAATGGTGTTTGAGAGACTGTTTTGACGTTGTTATAAATCTAAGGCCCCATGGAATTAGATGACTAGTCTGACATACAGATCTTTGAAATGAAGTCAACTGAAGGTGCTGTACTGAGAAAAGCCAACAAAGTTCATTCAACTGTCAGACCTCAGTGCTGGTATTAGAAATATCTAACCGATTCATTTTTCAGAGGTGTCCCACAGCCTCCCTCTGAGCTCTGATTCCATGAGTCAGATACAGCCAGGCCACCTAAGCCACTTCTTTTGGGTTCACAATAGGGGGAAAAGATTGCAGATAAGAAGCCAAAGAGCTCAGTGACACACTACCTGGCCACAACCTTGCACCAGAGAAGTCTTTTCTGTCACATGAGCCTCCTGACCTCCTGTGGTACCTGCACCCCACACTCCTGGCCTGATGCCTGTGGTCTCACCCATGTGAGATAGAATAGGGAAAGTCTGAGCAAGGCACCTCTGGGGTTGCGTGAGCCAACTAATCATACAGCAACTGAATACAGCTGCTGCAACAGGAAGCAGAACTGACAGCATCTGGCTAGAACTGCAGAATAGTACTGAGGAGAACAGTAATCCTACAGCCAGGAGTCCTGTCCAGGACCATAGGGAAAACAGATCTCCATTTGCTAAACCTGCCAAGCAACCCTCACACCTGCAAGTGACCAGTAACTAGTTTGAGGAGACAGATCTTGTAATGCCAATATATCAACACACATGCCGTTTAGTGTCCTTTCTACTAGCTATCCTCTTAGCCCTCTCATGAGAAATAGATTTCTTTCATAAAGGAGATAAGGAACAAGAAAAGGTTACTATCACAATAGGGAGAACTTGGGAGAGGTTGATTCTAAAAACATAGTCAAGAAAGTAAGATCTGAAATGGTAAGGTTTGTACCTCCCAAGGTGAGAAAGTGAGGAAACCAGTGCTGGAGTTGTAAATGGGACGGCAGAAGAGACTGAAGACCAATCTGTCATTTGATTTGGTGGTGTGTTAGAGCCCAGACTCTACTTTCAGAGTGAAAACATTGTGTGAAGTGAGAGCACTTAAACAGGACATTACAAAGGCGAACAGGGTGCCAAACCATGCCTCTCTAGAAGCAAACAGGACTTTTCCTTCCAGGCCCATTCTAGGAAGTAGAAATGTATAGAGAACCACACTCTCATGGGTCTTTACCTCTTCTGGCACAAGACTTCAGGCAAGCTCTGCAGACTATAAAGGTATTTTCTGCAAGAAAATAAAATAACCCACTCCTGGATCTCAGTGCTAACCCTTAGCAAATCTAGGAAACAAGCTGAGAAAGAGAGGAAGGATGTAGATCCCAGCAGAAGTGGAAATAAAACCAGCATAGGTTAAAATGCAGAGCCTGGAGTTGAGGTTAGCGGAGCAGTTACAGGTTGCAGCTGGGAAAGGCAGGGGAATCAGCCTGTGGAAAGGAAACTGGACATGTTATTTTAATGGAAAATAAGAATGATACTGAAACAGAAGGCATTCACATACAGGGGAGATTACTGGTTTGGTTTTTGTTTCCCCCCTTAAGAGAGTGGGCAGCTGAGACCCGCACAAACTGTTTAGCATTCAGGAAGTGCTCTTCCCACCCTGGTTTCTACATATCCCCCGATGACAGTTACTTAAGCCTGACTCCAAATGCCTGCATGAACTAGGGTGTGGGTGGAGATTTCTCCATATGGGGTGCAAAAATCTTTAGAGGCCAAATTCTGTCCTTGACAGTTAACTTCTGTGCAGCCCCAGTGCTTTGGTGAAAGCACCGTCACAGTGAACAGATGCTCACAGCCCCAGATCATCAGCTCTCATTACTTTATATAGCACCCTAAGTGTCCACAGACAGAAAGGATGCTGGGTACCAGCAGAACCAAATCTTCTCAAACCAAGGAAAAGAGTATGTTGTGTACCCAAGTTAAGAACAAAGAAAATAAACACATAGGAAAAAATAAAGTGACAGATAATACCTCTCGACAAAAAAGCTTGTGAAGATGGCTTTGGAACAGCTCCTTTAAGTAATTTTCAAGTTTACGCATGTATCCCAATATTTAGGTGTGATTTCTGATCAAACTTAGTAGTTTTAAAAGAGTGTGCTTCAGCGTATTTTAGATATAAGTAATTATTCTCACACTTAATTGCAAAAAGAATCAACTGTATTTTTACTTACCTTTTCAGCTTGGCTGTCAGAGAAAAGGATGAAAATAGACAACATGTTTTAAACCCTTTTCAGCTCCTAAAGAGCACAAATACACTGCAGTATTACTTGATCACACTGATCATGTATGCTATTAGAAAAGTCTGGATCTGACTCTGCAACTTTTAACTCAAAGAAGATTCTGTTCTAATAATCCCTTTGAAGTTATCAGGATTGCTGGATTGTTAAGGACTATGAAAATCAGTTGCTGCTTGTAGGAGTAAGGCTGTTCTTTCAGCATACTCGTTACTTAATTTTATAAGGGCTTTTGCCAACAACCTACAATCATTATTGTTGTGTGTGTAATTCTAGCAAACAGTATCAGGTGGAAGAACCCGTTCACTGGAAAAAAGGCACCTGTGATTTCTACTGCAGCTAATCATGAGATACATCTGTTTCTTTACAAATCTGATTTCCACTCCCCAGTTGCCACTTTCACACGTAGATACTATGTCCAATTCAGCCTGCAAGTTAGTCGATGTAACAAATCCCATCAATTGGGATAAACCTCCCTCCCTTGTGTAGCCTGATAACTGAAAACTTGGTTTGAACTACCTTTCACTCCACATTTTCAATCTGCTGCTGGGACAGCTAAGTGGACCCGCTGATGCCCTCAGGCTCGCAGCCTCACCTAACTTTGTCCAGACGCGCCAGGGACAAGTGGTTACAAAGGCGGCTGCATGCCCGTTACCCTGACGGCTCCTCCGGTCCCGCTTTGCTCCTGCGGCTCCCGGGCAGGAGCGGCGCGGAGAGCCGGAGGTCGCCCCGCCAC